ATTATGTGAGAAATGAAGAAGTGTTAATTAGAGTCAGTGAGCAGAGGAATATCCTACATGAAATAAGAAAACGGAAGGCTAATTGGATTGGTCATGTTTTACGCAGAAACTGCCTTCTAAAAGAAGCTATCGAAGGAAAGATAGATGGGCGGATAGAAGTGACAAGAAGACGAGGAAGAAGACGTAAGAAGATGCTGGATGACCTTGGGGACAGAAGAGGATACTGTCATTTGAAGGAGAAAGCTCTAGATCGCATTAAGTGGAGGAATTGTTTTGAAAGAGACTGTGGACCTGTCGTCTTGACAGATTACTGATGATGATGATCCTGTTCACTTTACCACGCTTTGGCATGATTGTAATTTAAAATGGAAATGTCTACATTTTTTTCACCACACATATTCGTCTTAAACACTACTTTCGCAGTTACTCCACATCCATTTTCATACGTATTTTCTCAACAAATTAGTGCAATCTTCAGCCACTTGGAAGCAGCACTAGAAAGATGTTCTTGAACTTGTTTTGGAAGGTGGACGTTCATTCTTAGAATATAAAACTTTTAAGAATTAACATGGAAGGAAAGTATTAGAAGTTGTATGTATTGACATATGAAGCGACATAATTAACACGATTAGGTTCTATATTTCTTGGCGTAGGAACACTGGAGACTAGGATGTGGACGTGGTGACCGATTCTGATGTCAGCAACGAGTTTCATCGCCCGAGTTATATTGTCTGTGCAGCTGTTAAGTGGTGTTCATCACTGATGAACAAGAATGGAATTCGTCATACTACTCATCAAAGTGTTCTGCTTCAGGAGAATGCCCGTTCTTAAAAGCCCGCTAATATAGAATAAGATATTTATAAGAATGTGCGACTAAAGGCCGGTTGGGCATTGCCTAGGCGTTTTTTGTATTTTCATAATTTGTTTATACAAAAGAAAAAGACTGTGCTTCGTTCCATGTCTGGTGCCTCGGTCGCCATAGTCGCTAGTGCAGAGGATAATCGAAATGATCGAAATGATCGGGAAAGTTCAATACCGTTTGATACCTTTCGAGAAGACTGTTTATTCTGTATACGCAGCCATTCTGCTAAATATTTGGAAGAGGTAATTGAATTGTGTAACAAATTATTGAAAATTAGACAGTATAGTTCTTTGCCGATATTTAGGCCCTTAATGTAGACATCATTGCAGTATGTTTAATATTGAGTTTGAATAAGTTATTTTGTAGGTATACCGAAGTTTTTTAATGTTGTATTTTAGCGTCCTGTTGCACTGATTTTCATCCATGACATGTATATAGTGTCCATCTTGTAGTGCACTCAGTTTTACCTGTTACTTCACGACGTGTTTCGGCAACATAGTGCCATCATCAGGTGCCCTAATTACGCTAAGCTATTGCATTGCTTGCCATTATATGTCTTTGTAAAATTATTTAAAAAGTGCGTATTCGTCAACTATAATAAATTTACATACACTAAAACTTGTTAAGATTATTCATCTTATGTGTCTTAATTAAAACTTGCTTGTGGTTCTTCCACTGTGGGGGTCGTTTTTCTTATATTCTGTGTAAACAGTGTATTGTAATGTGTGTTCCCTTTTTAGCTGCGAGTGTTGTGTGATGACAACACTTGCAGCTGTTCTTTGTCAGTTGTCTCCCCTGCGACCTCCATTTCTGTTGCCCTCAGGAGCGCAAAAATGTTTCTTGTTATTACTTCACCCTGGGATTTTATCCTAGGGCCCCTCGGGCTAGGTGACGGCTTCGGATTTTTCTTCTGTTCCTCTGAGGGGTTTTGCTTACACCTTCTTTGCTCGCAAAATTAATCGGCTGATTCTTCTTTTTGTTCCAGGAGGAGCAACTCTCACATCTCCCTGTGGATGGTAGCATAGAGGCGCAGCATGGCTGTAAAGAGAGCCTTGCCGTCGAGGTGCTTACAGAGCACTGTTCTCTTGGCCTCGGATTTCGTTATTAGTTTATTCCACTGCGCCGTTTCCATTTATGGAGGGCGATGTATGGATAAGCTGCCCTATATTTTGCAAGCCTTTGCCCAGTAATTCGATTTCTTCCTGGCAGTCAGGATTACTATTTGTTAAGTTTACGTGGTTCCTCTCAAAGGAAGCCATGATTGCCTTCCACCACGTTTCACACAAGGTCGGCTGCGGCATTTCGCCTGCTTGATAGTCCGTTGCAGACGGAACGGCCACACCTCTGATGCACTAGCCACGCCAGTCACTATATAGTTGTCTGCGCACTATCCTAACTACAGCTGATGCACGAGGAAGTGAACACTTCACCTTTAAGTCGCTTCACACCCACAACCCGGCTGAATGACTAATATACACTGGCAGCAGAATAGCACCCAGGTAAGCTGCAGACGAACACATTCCAACTCTATGATCACCCGAGACAGCTCAAGAACTCCTTCGGTAAGCAAGTGATCACAGTTCAACTCTAACTCCTTTGGATGTCCCTAATACTTCACAACCACCTTACTGCAGAACTTCCAAACACTACAGCTTCTCTCCAATCAATGAGCCACTCCAATCCAATGACCTGATCTTGCTCCGGTCTTTCATTGCTGCACATTCAGAGTCAGCTGGAGACAGAGTCATGTTGCAACTGACGGTTAGTCAGTCTGTCTGTCATGACCAGATATTTCTTTGAATGAAAGATACTGTCTTGTCTATGTGGGGCGCCCTCTCTAACGAGAGTTCGGGTCTGTCATTTGTCAGTCAGTCTGTATTAATAAGTCCGCTGTCTGTATTTACATATGTTTACATATACACAATTATTCCTTCAGTGTACAATATATGTAAGGCCTCTATTAGTGCAGGCTCAGTACAGCAGATTGTGCCCTATTTCTAGTATTATTTGCTACCATGGCAGTCTAGTCACTTGAACGGTCGTATGCCTACCGCCACCAAGTTTAAGCCTCTTATACTTTCTGTGGTGGGCTTCACCTTTTCCAGTGTTGCGAACATTCTCATTATTATGATTTTGTATGACTTCTGCGTGTTGCCTGCATAACTTTGTTACAAAGTCATATATAGGGCTCGGATTTCTATGACGTCATATTTTTATCCTGCCATCTTTTCACATGTATAATTAAATATAAACGCATTTCTGACTCTTGTGAACATGAAAATACGGTTTTTATTGGTCATATAAATGCATATTTGAACCATATTTTAGCTTTCGGTCATATTTGGGCCCGAAGTGATATAAAATCATATTTTTGGTCATATTTTAGGCGAGTTTCACTTACTGCTCAGAAATATATTTGCAAGTATTGGCAACGATGTTATTTGGAACTTCATTTCTTAGAAATATTTGGCCTTGTGTAACGGGATTTGAAGGAATACTGTACAGTGTGAAGGTTAACGGTTCTTGACCTGGTGTAGAATCAACCACTTTGAAAAGAGAAATTGCCACCTCTGCCTCTGTCTGTCTGTCTGTCTGTCTGTGTCTCTTTTTCTCCCCCACTGCAGTGATACCTGAAGTCCAGTTTGTTTCTTGCATATTGGTGAAAAATTTTTCCATCCACAAAGTGGTAAATTTCTACCCTCTCCCCGAAACCCGTCCAATACAGTACTGTATTCATAACATCAGTTGTTCAGTATAGTTTCAAGATGCCTAAAGTCAAGTGCTCTAATAGCGTGAAGTTGCGTGGTTTTTTGATTAAAGAGTTTGGTGACAAATATTTTAGTACTGACGGAGAAGTTTTATTTTGCAAAATGTGTGAAGTGAAAGTTATGGCAGACAAACGTTTTACGGTGCAACAACACTGCAATACAGCTAAACATAGATGCTGTGTAAACAGAGAAATTACCACGGAAAGTAGACAGCGATTGTTGTTTGAAAAGTCATCCTCCAGTTCACCGAAATCAGGAAATGCCTCCGAGTTTTCAAAGGATCTTTGTACTATGAT